TCTAAAAAGGTTTAAATTGAATGTGGAAAAATTCCGTCAGCTGTTCGTGAAACACAACTGGACTAGCTCATTTTCTAGGCAAGATTTTGCCTATGAATTTAGGAACTTTTTCCAAGGTTGGATTAGTGGTTTGGGAATAACTACTTTTAATCAGTTAGTAGAATTAATCAGTATTGCCGGTAGATGTAAAAGATCATTTCATTGATGAGTGGACCCAGTTAAACACTGTGGAAGGGCTCGTCAAACGGCTTGATGATTATGAAGCTGTAAGAGTGAAAAAGAGAACCAGCCGCTTCAAGCTCCAGCCGAATATAAAAGATATTCAAAACAAAGTAGAAGGGGATACCCTGATTAAAGACAGAATTTTCAAGAATGGTCTAGGCTGGAAAATTTTGAACTTCAACCAAAGTTAACATGCTATGGCTGTGGAAGAGGTTTATATTTATACTAGAAAGTATAAATAATTGGTTTTATTTATGAACATCAACATTTTCACTATTTAATATTGTGAATTCGAAAATTATTTAGTATATATTCTTCAGCTTAAAGAGATCAACCTATTGACTTTTTTCTGTTGAAAATTTGTTAGCTATTGATTATTTATTTGTTATGTAAGGTTCCCATAAGTTTATATTTATCACAGTTGAAAAAAGTTTAACTTTTGTATAAAAATAGGTGGCAACAGATTTGATATGTACATAGAACGCTTCGCTTTGATAGATTTTTCGCTGTTTATTATTATTGTTTATTCAAATACTTTTTTTATAATATCTTCTGGCTTCTTGATTATAATTAATTTAAACTAAATTCCTTGTTCTTCAACCATACCCTATATGGCGCAGTCGACTTTTTTAACAAAAGAACATTTCAATTTCCTTATCTTTGAAATGTTACAATTTCAATTACTAACATTTCAATTTCCTTATCTTTTGGAAAGACCGTCTATGCCAGAAACTCCTGGATTTTGGCATTAATGGTAAAATGTTCCATTGGATGAGGTCGTTCCTTGACCAGCACCTATGCAAAGTCAAATATGGCAACAAGCTTTCTAGATCGTATAATCTCCAGACTGGTTTGTCTCACGGAGCAGTTAGCAGCTGCGTTATGTTCAACATTTACATTAATGATTTGGTTTCATCTCTGGAATCAATAGAAGGTATTAAGTGCCTCCTTTTTACAGATGATTTGATTATATGGACACAGGTACCAAAAAAGGGGTTATGATTGAGAGAAGACTAAACCAAGCACTGGAATCTCTTTCGACTTGGTGCACGGAATATAATATGATCGTTAACCTAAATAAAACTGCTGTGCAGTCCTTTTCGTTAAACCACCAGGTCTTCTGCCCTAACTTGATTTATCCCAACACCACTCTAAAAACTACAAACGAGTTTAAATACTGTCACAGTGATGTGTGACGTTTTTTTCTAATTGTTTAATTTAATCCCTTTTTAGTTTAATGTTGGTTGTTTGATGTCACAGTGTTGTGTGACGATTTTTTTAGGTCAGGAATTTAAATTTAACTTAATCTTTCATAGTTAATAGTATTTGTACTTTTCCTATTTTTTATTTCTCTTCATTTTTTTCTGTGAAGAGAATTGGAAATGTTTCTTTTACTTTTACGTTAGCAACGCATTCTTTTGTGCCTTTCTCTTTTTCACCTTTTGCAATTCAAGGTCGCCTGACCCCACTGTCCTTCAAGGACGACATTCTTTTCCCTCACATTCTAATTTACGTCACCACTTAACTTCTTTTCCCATTACTTTCACGTAACCTTCAATTTTGCACGTGGTTACTCTTCTAGCTGGATTTTCTAGATTTTTCTAGAATTTTTGGGGTGTTCACGCCTTTTGGGGGACTGCTTCCCTTTGGCACCTTATTTCGTAGGTGTGGGAGTACAAATTTGCACTGATTGGTGGTGACCTAATCGTGTGGTAATCCCCCATCCAATGGCAGTTGTTCTCTCTCCTGCTTTTCAACTCGCATTTTCCCGCGCTTAAGCGGACGCCATTATTATTATCGTTTTTTTGGTACTGCCAAGTACACGTCTCTCGGGGATTGCGGTGCGGCTGGTAAGCTGACCTTCGTGGTCAGCGAGCCATGCCAAACCACCCCAAAGCTACATTTTTTTGCTTTCTCTTTTATTATTTTCAGTTTAGATCATTTTTTTGAGTTTGGCCAATTCCTTCCCAAAATTGTTCAACTACATCCCTCCCCACTCAGGGTATTCGATTGTCCTCGGTGAAAAATACAATGTGAGTGTGAATACCTTGTTTTTTTTTCGACGTTATTGTCTTTCCTCGACGTCTTCATGTTTGTTCATCGAGGTGAGTAACTCACTTTTTTTCTTTGTATTTATTTGACTAGAGGGTAGTTACAACTTATTTACTGTTGTGTATAAATTTCATAGATGTTATTCAGTCGTCCCCTAACTTTATCTTGACCACGAGCCCTTGCTGTTGGGTTAATTCACGTGGCACTTAAGCAATTTTCCTTCCACTATTTTCGATCACTTTTGGCCTTTTCTTTACATCAATTTATGATGATCCAAATTATTATCAAAATTCATTATTTAATTAATCTCTTATTTTCTTTGATTGTCTTAAACTTTATCGACTGAATACCTCTATCAATTTTACAATCCATTCCTTTGTATAATATATTTTAATTGTAACATTCAATTTAATTTATAATTAATTTTAAATTGTTACATTTGATTTTCTCAATTTAAGTTAAATTTATAATCAATTTAACTTTGGTACATGAGTAATTGTAAATAATTTTCAATGGTACAAATACCTAGACGTAATTTTCGACAATAAATTAAGTTGGAAGCCACACATCGAAATGCTGACTGAGCGAGTGCTCAGCAGAATCAATTTAAGGATGCGCAAGAGCGACTCTTAATTTGACCTATAAAACTTTTATCCTGCCCCTGATAACTTACTATTGCGAATCACTCATAACATGCAGGGAGAGCTCTTATAAGGGCTTAGAAATTATTCAAAATAGGGCTTTGAGAGTAGTGACTGGTGCGGTTAAAATAACCCCAATTGAAGTCATGCTACTTTTGATAAATAACAGATCTGTTCAAGCCATTATTGAAGAACGGGCCTTGCTCTTGTTTGAGAAACTCATTAGAAGTGAAAACCTCTTTTGGACTAATTATCAGGCAAAAGAGAGAAACCTGAAAATGCAACTCGGATTCATTCAAAAGGTTGTCTTTGAAATCAAATTTTGAATTTTGCAATGTGATTAAAAATAACTTAAAACCACAAAACCCTATCAATTCAGAAGAAATTATAACAAACTTAAATCTCAAAAATTATATTATAACGAAACAAACAGCACCTGAAATTTTAAAATCCCTTGCACTAGAGACCATATATACTGAGAACCCAAATCATCAGTGACTACACGTTTATACAGATGGCTCTGACTAGCAAATGGCTGCTGGATCTGGCTTTTTCTCTGATCACTTTTCCTTCTACGCATCTGCCAGGAAATTCAAAACGGCCTTCGATGGCGAAGTACATGCTATATATATTGCATTGAAACAACTGTTGGTCATCCATTCAAAGTTTGGAAAAGTTGTATTGTTGTCAGATTCCCAGGCTGCAATCCAATTATTCAACAATATACTATCTGGTCAGATTCAAAATCGGCTCTTTTCTGATTGAAAAATTCTTGTACAAATAATAAACTATCAATTAAAATCCAAACAGTCATATCTAACACTAATATACAACTTTCATGGATTAAAGCTCATCAAAACAGACAAGGTAATGAACAAGCAGATGCCCTCGTCAAATTTTCCACGACTAATAAACAAAACTATTTCTATCCGTATCCTATTTCTTTTTTCAAGAAACAACTCAAAACTTCAATCAATAAAGGCTGGCAAATATATTGGGATAACATCGACAAAGGCCGAAGACTTTATAACTTTATTCCCAAAATAAACTACTTTAAATCCATACCTACAAAACAAGAAATATGGTTCCTTACTGGACATGGTCCCTTCCCTACATATTTAAAATTCCTAAACATAACTGACGCTGATCAATGTACATGCGGCCAACTGGGCACTCCAGAGCACTATCTTACTGAATGTATTTACACTGCCTCTTGGCATACCCGTCCGCCAAATCAATCTAACCTATACAAATGGCAGAAAAACTTCCTAACTAACAAGACATTGAATACTAAACTTAAAAACACAATGCATTTTTTATCCACTAATGATAATTTAATAAAATTTTAATGTTAACCTCATTAAGATTATGGACTGCCTATAAAAAAAAACATATTTTGTCTTACATAAAAAATATATATATTCATATGTTTAAAATATTTATATTGTCTTGCATGATACATTTCATTTATGTACACTTTCTTTATTCTTTTTCCTTTTATTTCTCTTTTTCAATTTTTATGTACATAGCAAAATTCGTTTCTTTTATTGTTCTTGTTATTTTTACTTTATTTTTTGTTTCATTCATTGTATTTTCTTTTAAACAAATGTTTTGCACTTCATTGTCTTCTGCAAGACTTCAATGTTGCTTACTAAATTTTATTTTAAAGGATTTTATATGTATTATGTACTATGCAATTTTCGATAATAAATTCCTACTGATCAGGCTAACTCACCGGGTTGTGGCGAGCTGGACTGGTAGCCAGACGTAGACTATACGGGTAAGGGTTTTGCAAACCTAGGTACGTGTCCACGTCTGGAGTAAAGTTAAAAAAAAGGCTACAATCCAGGCGATCGGTTAGCAGGGAGACACTTTGTCGGATGAAGTGCTTCAGAGTCGGAGACTTATCAGACTTTTGGCACTAAAAAACAAAAGAGTAGTCATCCACTGGATTCACAGCCATTGTATCATGTATGGTAACGCGCAAGCTGACTTCCTTGCTGCAAGGGAACACAAATCCTTCAACCCAGTTGCTCTGGATTGTCATACCATTCTATAAAACTACATATAAAAAACATAATGAAAATGAATGATTTTGCTGATCTACGAGAAAGCATAAGGAATAATAACTGGAGTGAGCCAGATATTAAGACTGTACCAGATAAGCCTCGCCGAGATGCAGTAGCCACCTTTAGACTCCTAACAGGTCATGATTGTCTAGGAGAACACCTGCATCGTATAGGTATTGACCACCCTCAGTGTCAACTGTGTGGTTCTGGAGCACCAATGAATAGAGAGCACCTCCATTGCTGTAGGAGGCTCACGGACTTGACTCGGAGACCGCAAGACATTGGCGTGCGAGAGAGATTTTGGAAAGATGACTTCGGTCTTTTGTTATTTACTATTTTTATTGTTCCTCTGTGTTATTGTTTGTATTCCCTGCCATTGGAAATAAAATAAAAAATTCTTATCTTTAAACATCGTTATTTTATCGCTACATTTTAAAATTCTTCTCAGGAAATCTTGACTGCTGAATAAACAAAAAAGAATTCATCTTTGGCTACAACTCATCCAGATAATCCTATTTTATCAAAAAAAATTACATTCCACGAAATAAAATTTAAAAATTTCCTTCCATTGAAGAATTGATTTCTACTCGCCAAACTTCTCGGTAACAAACGCCGCCAAAACAGATTCCTCTCGCTGCACTTTTCTTCGCCAAGATGTTATCAACTAGTGTCCTTTAATTTTGATTATTATGGGTAAAAAAAAAGACTTATCAGCAGAAAAGATAACACAAATAAAAAGCCTTTTACTTCACACTGAAAACTCACATAGAGAAATAGCGCGTTTGAAAGAAACAAGTAAAAGCAGTGTCAATCGCATCTCTATTGCTATTAAAAAGAAAAGCACTTTTAAACACAACAGAGCCAGGCGATGTGGTCGTAAAAGAATTACAACTTCACGATCTGATCGTAAAGAATAATAGAAAAAAGAGTCTTTTTTCATTCAAAATAAAGCCGTAAAAAATAGAATTTCTGCATCTAAAAGAACGATCCAACGACGCCTTAAAGAAGCAAAACTAACTGGTCGTCGGCCAGTCAAGAAACCACGATTAACTGCAGTGATGATTAAGCAGCACCGGAACATGACCGTTTGGGGACTAGAAAAAGGTCTGTTTTTCAGATGAATCAACTTTTGAAATTTTATCAGATAAAAGTATGTTCATACGTAGACGACCCAACGAAAGATTTCATCCAGATTGCATTGCGCAACGCGTCAAACATCCTGATAAAATTATGGTTTGGTCAGTTATCAGCACTGAAGGTGTTGGAGACCTGTATATCGTCAAAGGAACAATGGACCAGCATCAATATAAACAAGTTTTGCAGAGGCATTTGATACCTCAATTACGTACGTGGTTTCCAAACGATGAAGATGTCACTTTTATGCAGGACTCTGCCCCTTGTCACAAAGCAAAGAGTGTTATGAAGTACCTGGACAATAAAAAAAATTAATGTCCTTCCTTGGCCAGGAAATTCTCCAGATCTGAACCCTATAGAGAGTTTGTGGGAAATAATGAAGCGAAAAGTAGCTGAAGAAGTTATAACAAATAGAGATACTACACTAATATCAAGGTTGAAAGAAACCTGGAATAGCCCAGATATTATTGCAAAAGCTTGTATTGAAAGTATGCCATGCCGCGAAGAATAAACCCAGTTATATAAGCAAAAGGACATGTTACAAAATATGAAGGTTTTTTATGTTTTAAATAAAAAAAAGTAATTAATCCGAATGAGAAAGTTGCAAAAAAATAATACCAAATAATTTTCGAATTCACAACAATAAATAGTGAAAATTTAGATGTTTATAAATAAAACCAATTATTTATACTTTCGAGTATAAATATAAACATTTTATTATATATGTAATTTATTATATAATTTGAATAAACAATTCAAATTTATTATAAAATTTTGATATCGATTTCATTCAATCCAATTGAAATCTCATTTTAACCAAAAATACTGCCACAAGTCACTTTTCACTATAAATGACAAAATTTTTTCAAAATCTCATATCTCGGTCAAGAAAAAAAATCGTAAAGTCATTTACTTTAGCGCGTTTTAAAATTTACGACTTGTACTTTAATGTGTAAATAATAATATTTATGCAAAACATTTTGTCACAAAGTAACAACTTGTCAGACTTGACATTTTTTTTCAAAAAAAAATGCTTTGTTTAAATGTGCAAATTTTTGCAAAACATTGAGATAAATTAAATTAGTAATTTTTAAGAGAAAGTAGAAGACCTGAACATGATATCCTGAAATGTTTATGAAAATTGATTCATTTTTGAAAAAGTTATGACACTTTGAAAAATGACAATTGTTTAGAAATTTTAAGTGTCCCTAATAATTTGGCAGGGTACTGTATATATTGTTCATAATAATTATAAATATATTGTTCATAATAATATATATATTGCTCATAAGAAAAATAGTATATTAAATTTTTCATGTATCGAAGGGATTTTTAAGTTCCACTAGTATTATTTCCATATAAAATTGAAACTGAAAATAATATCCCACTGGGACTGATCTGTCCGTATGATATAAATTTTCACTCATCATAATTAGCAGTACTAGATCATTTGAAATTAAACATAACTTTTATTTAATTTAATATTTTGTTGGAGCACGCCATTTTACGATTAAACTTTCTCCTTCAATTCTGAGTTTTTTTTTTTTTTTTTATCTTGAAAGACTTTATCTAGATTTTAATTTTTTTTTTTACATTGATCCATTAACATTTATTTACGTGATTTTCTTTTTTAACTTAGTTATAGTTGCATGTTTTTAATATGTACGTTTTTTATTATTTTTACTGGAGAAGATGAGGCTTGACAGCTGAGCTTAACGGATGAAGAAATTAAAATTGTGTGGACTGAAATTCCATGCATCAGATCGTAACACATTTAAATACAAAATAAACAATTGTGAGTATAAAAATATTGCAATTGCAAATAACAATTTTTTTTAATTAATTTCACTATGAAAGTAGCTTACATTTTAGTTTTCTAATTTAAATTTAGAAATAAAAAATATGAGCAAAAGTATTTTATTACTCTTTGTTGCTCTATTAACATTTCTGTCCCAAATAAAAATGTTATGAAAAAATTAGAAAATTATATCGTAAGAAATGCGTAAAATAGCCATTTCAATGGAGCAAAAAAGTTTCACACGTTTTGATTTTATTAACTTGGTAAATAACAGATTAAATTGATGCTTAATATACTTTCCGTAAAACTTTTCTTAGAACTATACATTAATTCTAACGTATCATCGCAAATGTCTTGGTCTTACATTATTGACAGCACAAAATCCCAGAAAAACCAAATTATATGATTTTGTTTTCCGACATGAAATAATGATTTTATTTATCTATGAAATATTTCTATAATTTTGTATCCCTAATTTAAAGGTAAAATTTATTTCTCTTACATTGCTATCATTACGCTTCTGATTTAGATTATTGTAACAAATTAAAGGCGTTACAGGGTCGACGTGGTGGTGTTTCATTTATAATGACGTAATCTTAAAATGTTACCTAATATTTCATGACACGTATAATTAAATCAGTATCAAAACTTATTTACATTTCACAAACATTATCCTGTTAAGAGTATATCATATTATTATAAATTAGAGCTGAGCTAAAAATGGTGATTACTAGAATACTTAACACAAATATTACATGTAAAGTGAAATTAACTGTAGTTGATGTTGTTGCTAATTCCCAGACCAGATCAATAAATCCGTTGACATTTAGGAAGTCCGAAACTAAAAGGGGAGAGGAATGAATGTCATTTCAGTCCAGACCTAAACAGTTCAAGATATGCTCAGATGATGCCTAGTTTTTTGGCATTCAGGGCAAAGAGGAAAGATCTTTTGATTAGCAGAAAATGTGAGACTTTTCAGGTGACCACTGGCTAGTCGGGATGCGTATTTACTAAGACTCAATGATACAGAGCACTTGGCGCGATAAAGAACATCTAAGCATTTTTGGTGCGAAAAAGAAACCTGCGCATGCGCTGTAAGGAAAAGGCATATAGAGCAATCCTTTGCGTTTGTGTTAGTTCCGTTGTTGACACTTTTAGTCGCTCGCTATTTTAGTTTGACAGTTTGTGACATTTAACCTGGTTCAACCTTAGTAGTTTATTAATCTCAGGTATGACAGATGAAAATTCAAAACAAATGCCCTTTTCAGGGCAAAACCCTGATGAAGAAGTTAATTTCTTCAAGGATACTCTATTTCCTGAAATCAGAAAACAGTACAGCGATGCAGAGATTGACTGTGAAAAATCAGATTTGAATAAAATTAATCTGAGACTGTCACTGGTAGATGCAGATGATGCAGAAAAACTAAAAAACAATGTATCTAAAATCACAAATTCGAATTGGATCATCTATAGGACGCAAGGAAATTTTCAAAGGTAGTGTAATGAAATTTGTATTTTTACTGATTTGTTTTTCTTCTGATAAATCGTTATATTTTTTACCAGAAAGTCAGAATGGTTGTTGCTTGACCGCCAAACTTTGATAACTCGTCAAAACAATACCAACAACTTCTGTGAGGCAACAATTAGAATTTTAAAAGATGTTGTGTTGTGCCGCACAAAGGCATATAATATTGTCGCCCTCACAGACTTCTGCATTTCTGTGTGGAATTCATATCTCAAACAAAAATTGATGGCTTTTGCTTACTCCAGGCGAGGTGAAGTTGTACTATTGTACAACAATTTAAATAAAAAAACACAAAGCTTATCAGAGGAAAATCTAAAAGAAGAAAGTGAGCACTTGTATACAGTAAAGTCGGCTGACGGAAAAAACATTTACACCGTTAATGTTGAACATGGTGTTTGTACTTGCGAAGCAGGAGCTTCCGGTGCTTTCTGCAAGCATCAGTTCTTTGTAATGAAAACTAAAGGTATGTCATTACCTAATGCACCACCAATTAGTGCTAATGACAGATACAGATTAGCTAAACTGGCTTTAGGTGCAAAGTCTCCTGATCCTAGTTTTTTTTAAGGATTCAACGAAACTATAGAAGGCATTAATATTATTGATAATGAAATGCATGAGGTAATTCAATCACCGGAAGAAGTAAATAAGGAAAATACTGATTCTCCTGGTGTCCAAAACGTCTCCTGTGAGGAAAAAAAATAATGAAGTTTTGAAAGAGTTGGAACGATTGGCGGACATGATGTCAACAAACAATAATGAAAATGCTGCTACTGCTGCTCTTAGTATCTTGAAAAGAATAAAAAAGCCTGATGATTTTCAGACTCTCTGTGTTTTGCCAAATTTGAGGGCAAAAAGATTGAAAAAAATCGGTGTTCAGTCTACATCAATATCTAGACGCAGGCTTGGGTTGACAAAATCAAAAAAACGTGTACCCTCAGGACGACCCTCTAGAATTCTGAAAAGGGGCATTTAAAGAAAAAGATGTTTGCAAGATAGCATTGTTAAAAATCAGCCAAATGCTAAATCGCATGGCTTATTTCATTAATTTTCCTTTCTAAATATTTGATTCAAAAATTATTTAGCGACTATGTAATAATCAAAATTTCTTAAATTTTCATTTTGTCTATTTTTAAAATAAACTAATGCAATGATTTGTAATTTCATCTAATTTTTGAAACATTTTCATACATTGATTACTTTTTTTATCAATAGAGGGCGGCACCAAAATAATTTAAATTTTCAAATATTTTTCTATTATATTCTAAAAATTTGTATTTGTTTGAAGTTGTTATTTTAAATTTAACTAATTCTTTTTGTATGATTTTTGAGGGGTAACTTTACAACTAAGCCTATTTTATTGTTTATCAAGTGTAAATATTTTAAACATTTCTTTTTAATTATAAGTCATCAATATTAAAACCAGATGGAATAAAATGATCTTTTAACATAAACTCTTGTATTTGTTTATTTTGAAATGTAAACATTACTTTACAATACCTTGTGCAATTAATTTCAATAACTTCACTTGAATNCCACAGAAGGACATGCTGCGCCAAACAAACGGTTTTAAAATAAAATCCTAGGTAGATGTATACTACAAGTTTTTCCCATCAAAATCACACGGCATTTATAAAACTGAATACAACGAAACCAACGCATTCAAGAGTAAGTAAAACAAGATAAAATTTAAATGTAGTTAAGTATCATAAAACAGTTGCATTCAAAGCTGAATAAAGACACATAAAATTGTAAATAGGATAAAAACTGTTATATACAGTATAAGAGACCAATTGCGCGTAGAAACGCAAAAATGTTAGGATGATGGCAGTCACCTAACAAATCCTGCAGTGTTAAAATAGAACTACCAAAAAAGGTTAAACGATGACGGTTAAAACATGGGCAATAAATTAAAATGTGATGGATTGTGAGTAAAACGTTGCAAGTATTGCAGTGAGGAGAGGGTTCATCAAACAGCAAGTGAAGGTGGGTCAATCGAGTGTGGCCAATTCGAAGACGAGTAAGTTTGACGTCTGCCCTACGATTACGTAGCACAGGCAATGGATCTAAATCAATTTTTATAGCGCGCAATTTATTATTAATTTGGAGATCCCACTGCTGCAACCATAGAGACTTTGTAAGCTGTCGTACGTGTGTTTTTATATCTTGGTATGGTATAGACAGAGAGAAAGGGTTTGTAGCAGATCGTGCGGCAACATCGGCCAAGTCATTGCCCGGAATTCCGACATGACTTGGGACCCAACAAAATAAAATATCAAACCCATTTTTATGAAAAGAATTTAACAGATGATGTATAAAATTTAAAATTGGGTGAGTCGATTCTTCGAAATGTCCCAATTGGCGCAACACGCTCAAACTATCTGAATAAATGCAATATTTTCGAGTAGGCAGTGATGAGATCAATCGCAGAGCTAAAAGAATAGCTACAGCTTCGGCAGTGAAAATTGAACAAATATCTGGGATTTTAAAATTGTACGTGGCATCAGCAATGACGACGCCACAACCGACATGTCCTGGAGATTTTGAGCCATCTGTAAATACAGGGGCGTATTGAGAAAACTGATGACGATGGGAAGTGAAAAGTTGCTGAAATATAATAGGAGACACTTCAGCAGTTTGAATATTTGTATAAAATATATTCAATTTACTACAACAGTGTAAGCACTAGAAACACAGTGGCGATCTCAGAAATGCTATATTATAAATATCTCCATACAGATTTTTAAAATTAAAACATCTATGCTTTTTTTTTCAAGTAATCAAACACTTTAATCTCATCTTATTAAAAAAATTCGTTCTGAGCTGAAGTATTATAATTCTCTCAAATCGTTTTGTTACAGCTCGATACTAAAGTATTGTTATGCTAATCACAATTCGGCGATTTCATTTCGAAAGATGATAAAAAATTTATAAACTGCTGTTGAAATATTGTACACATTTTCACGATTTCTTAACCTTAAATTGAAATGTAAACACAACAACGCATTCTGTACGGGGTTACAACAATCGAAAGAGGATGTGTGGGTTTACCACAAATCTGGCGACAATCCCTAATATCTGTGCGAAGAAAATTCGCGTCATGCCAAGTGCTCTGTATCATTGAGTCTTTGTAAATACGCAGTCGGCGTAAGCAAGTATTGGTCTACCTGTCACCAGGAAGAGATAGAGAGAGTCCTGGTCTTTTTGCTTTATACCAGTAGTGAATAGGAGGAAGCAGCCAATTTTGCTTGTTCTGGGCCTTTTGCCTTGCGAAAAGTAACTGTTTAATATACCTAATCATTTCGGTCTTCGAAATTATGGCTACACTCGCTAAATTAGTTATGATAATAAATCTTAATTTTTAAACATTTCATAAAGTGATCATTAAGCAAAATGATTGTGTACAAATATAGATCTTAATAGAATTATTAGAGAAATATATAAACGTGGTAAGTGGGGACAACGAGTAGCAAACGGAATTATTTTAAGTATATACAGTTTAACGGCAGTGAACAGAGGAGTTTACCCCTCAGTAGTAAATACAATATTTAGAAACCATTTTGTCTAAAATGCATCGAATCTATTGATATTTACCTTAGCAACTCATATTTTACTAAAATTTAAATTCGTGAATTTTTTAGTCTCTAATATAAAAAACTGCATTTATTCAAATACATACAAAACTAGCACTGAATTCTAGAGCATTCATTAAGAAACATTATCGTATAGTCGCCATTAAAAATCAAATACTACGGACATCCATTTTATTTCAATGTTGCTTAGTTGCACAATTAAAAATATGAATATATATATAACAAATATTCAAATATAAAAAACATTAAAAATAAATAAATAATAAAATAAAATATATTCAAAACAATTTTATTTAGAATTAACTATCATGCACTTCCTTTCTTCGATTAGTACTTCAATTTTCACATTTTTAGATAGATTTCAATATATCTCAAAAATATATCAAGCAGCGAAATGTTTATAGTAGTGTAGGACAAAGGTAGAAAAAAGACAATATAACATTTAACAAAACAAGGTATAACTATTATCAAGCATCAAAAACTGAGAGCTGTCTATATGCAGCATTGTAAGAAGAAAAAAAAAGACATTTTTTATTTATGGTAATGACAATTTAAAGTTGATAAGCACTCGTATACGATAACAAACTTGAAAAAATATAAAATATTAAATCAATTTTTCGGAATTTACAGAGCTCTTCAATCAATCTTATATAAGATCCTTTCTGACAGCTACAAAATATATTATTTGAAAAATACCCTCTCAGCGTTATATCAGATTTTCCTATCGATTATTTTACTTTTTAATAGTATTTTTAAACTTATTCATAAAAATGTTTGCTAAGAAAATAATAAATAAATATATAATACTGTTTCCTCGCTATATGGCCCTTACTATTATCTTACTCAATGTGTTGAGGGAGTTCACAATAATTTATTTTATAAGAAATAATACCATCAAAAGTATATGTAGCAAACTTTCATGGTGCAAAATTTAAAATCGAGTATAATCGCACTATGAACAACAAATATTAAAGCATAGAAATCTTAAAATTTGATTTATGACAAATAATTATTCTGGTTTTGGTGAAACCACGGTTCCACATTCAGATAAACTTCAATCTGTTTCAGGACAAAAAAATTTTACAGCAAAATAACTGCATTTTAAATATTAAAATTGCATTTAGTTTTGTTTTTATTTTTACAATAATGACAAAACCGTAAGTGGTGTTTTATGCCCACAGACTTGCCATGTTTAGAAGATTCTTTTTCTGCACAGCTGTCTTCTTTAGCAGGTGAACGACACTGATTCGTTTTCGGCGGAAAGGACTTCGAATCTCAGACCTTCGTCTCCTCCTTCTTCATCAACCAGTTCATCTAAAAGAACTCTTTTTCTACACTCTTTAACCTCTACTTCCTCCCAGGTGTAACCGAGACTACGAAACACAGACACCTAATTTTTCTTCAGAAGTGAGATTGTTTATGGATGGGTGGTCTAATGTAAACAATAACAAGCGTCCTTAAACCGGAAGAAATTTAGAAAATTTCCGGTGTATCCCTCCGCTTATGTTATGACTACGAGGCGATGTGTGAACAAGCCTAATATTCTATGCAGTTTTGTTATTGTAATTTGGGTTCAAATCTAAACATAATTGTACCATTCATAAGAGCTTTCAGAAATGTATTGATTCTCAGAGGTCGTAAGGCCAAAAATTTTTTTGGAAAGTTAATATCTCATTGTGAATAATTCTTAAGGTTTGCCATGTTTTGTATTTTATCCCTTATTTGGCTACATTTGAATGAAATGTCGCCAAAAATATCTTTAAAAATATAGTATTTTTAAGATAGCCTAATTAGAAAATATTCTAATGATTATAATATTAATAAGATAATGCTGAAGTTTAAAGGCTGAAAGAAAGAACTCTGTACATGTTAAATGTCACATAGTAAAAAAAAAAAATATGATGGCAAATGTGCAGGAGGAATTTTTTGAAATTACTCTTGAAAATTGGACTAACTTTCAATAATACATAAAAGTTAAAAGAATCCACGCTGATGCTTTCCAAAAAGGACAATATCTAATAGTAAAATCAAGGTAGTTCAAGTTGACTTTTCAATGGCATATTCTTGTGAATATCAAAAAAAAGTTCAATCAGTATTTTGCTATCAAGCATCTGTTTGACTATTCACAGCAGCGGTTTCGTTAGACGATACTTGTTCTTCATTCGCGGTATTCTCTGATAGAAAAGACAAAGGTAAAAAAAAAAAGTGTCTGCACTTTTATTTTAAAACTAATTGAGAAGCTGTTTCAGAATGCTTTTACTTCAGAAAATGAATTAACAGAAATCCTCTATAGTGATGAACCTTGATTTAATTCAGAATTTAAAAATAAATATATGGTTGAATTATTTCATCTTTTGTCAATCAAAATATAAAAAATTCATTTGGAAATATTTTACCATATCACATGGCAGAAGTGTTTTGTATGGGATAGATGTGCAGTGCAAAACTTTTAGTGCGAAGCAAAAGGCAAAATCAATTTACCTCAGTTTTTATACAAAAAAGTTAAGTTGTTCTACAGTGTTTGCAAAGCTAACCAATCAACTCCTGCCTAATACGACAGTATTACATATTAGCCCCTTTAAGAAAATTTGCCATAAAGAAGCCTATGGTAATCTATGGCAACCATAAAAATTTGTATAGCAAGATACCATACGCCTATGGTTACCATAGAGATTTGTATGGCACTACCCCATAAGCCTATGGTTAACATAGAAATTTATATGGCAAGATACCATAGGCAGTATACGCATTATTGCCATCTGTATTGCGCAATTGTGCTTTGTAATTGTGGTGCAGTTATGAATTTTGTAATGGTTTACTTATGTGCCGCGTATTGTGCGAGCTAGACTGTCGTCCAGACGTGGACTATACGGTTAAGGGTTTTGCAAACCTAGGTACGTGTCCACGTCTGGAAGAAAAGAAAAAGTACACCATAGGGAAAAGCTGATCTAGCCTATGGAGTCCTCAAAAACATCTTCTAAAAGAAAGAAATATCCATTTTTTCACCCCGAAGTTAATTAAATTCAACATGTAATCCCATAAGGCATTCCTGGTGAGTCTTTTCCGGCCACCGGGAGGCCAATTTCCCCATTTTTGAGTGTTTGAAATCTGATGTTCCATTGATCTAGGCTTAGAGTATCAGACCGCAATATTAACGTGTCATCCACTACAAGTGGAATTTTTCGCAAACTTTGGCTACTTATTTTAATATTTTTTTCATCTCATTCTTGGTCAAAAACATTTTATTGCAAACGCCTATGCGATTATCTATCTGAATTTATCAAGTTTTTAATTTCCGGCGGTCTGGTACTTTTATTATCTGTATCTTTTCAAAATATGTCGCGATTGGGTATAGGTTTTCGCTATGTTAAATTTTTCCATTTGGTAAGGCTGACTTTGTACACTTTAATTAATTAATATCTTGCTGTTTATATTTTTATCTAAAATTTTTATATTTCTTTCTCCCAACTGTTTCTGATTAAACGACATCTTTCTTTTTATTTTATCCCCTCCCTCTGATTTTATATAAATTTTTAAAGTCACATCACTTTTCCATTATTAATGGTGTTCTATTCCCCTTAGCAATTTGTAAACAATCTTCATGATGAAAAACACAGTTAAGTGCTTATCATCAAGCCAGATCCATCATTTCTTTAATAATTGAAATTTTTTAATTCTTTTACCTTGTTCGATGACAATTTCATTTTATTGCAGTCATATATCAATATCAAAGTCAGTGTTTGCATTCTCATTAGTTTTTGATTTTAATTCCACTTAGGTTCTTGCAATGCTTTTTTTACATTATCTTACATATGTTAGGGCTTTATATTTTTATTTTGTGTTTAACTTTTGCTTGCCATTAAATTGTTTTTATCATGTCTCTGTGTTTTACTATCTTACAACTAATATGTCCTAAGTATCCACATATATATGTACAAGGTTCTGTTACATATTTATACATAGCTTAGGGTCATCACTTAACTAGATTTGCTGGATTACTGGTTGACAATTGTTTTGCTTCAATATCATCAACGGGACAGTCCCTGGCGAAATCGTCTGCTGCTGTTACCAAAATTGCTTTTAACAATTTAATCTTTCCTTAAGTTTACAACTTTTTCGTCATAGCTAATCCCTATACCCAATTAATTTTTATTTACTATCCCTGACCAAGTGTCAATTTGTCAATAGCAATAATTAATTTTACCAATTTTAATATGTCTTAAACATGTTTTGTATTTACCAATGTTTCTATATTGCGTTCTCTTTTCTAACTGTGCTTAACACAACTCAACATAAATTTTTGAGTTTTATATTCCTCACTAGGAGAGCTCAAGATGGCGGATGACGTGCTTGACGCGTTTTATTTGTCTCTTGAAAATCAGTACAATATTATAAACAAAGCCTTACTTTCAAAGTGCAACATGAGTACAGAATTAAGAGAGCATGCCAGGACAGCAATGGGTGAGCTAAATACTCTCATTATTAAGACTTTTGAACGTTTACAGTCTTTTAATTATCGCAAAGTATGTGAAGAAAGTGTAAAGGCTATTTCTGTGATACCCACGTACGCGGAAGTAGTGTCGCCATCTAGGAATGAAAATAATAACTATACGGCTTACAGCAAAACAACAAACAACAATCTCGTAGTTAGTGCCGCTTCTGATTTGGAAAAATTTTCTTCCAATGACATTAAAAAACTACTTATGGAAAAAGTTAATCCTAGAGAAATTCAACTGGGCGTGAAAAGCATCAAAGCTATCTCTAATAATAGAGTCTTAGTACAGTGTTGTTCTTCTAAGGATAAATTAACTTTACAAGAGAAGTTAAAGAATAGTCCGGAACTGGTATCCACTGATCCAAAGCTTAGAAATCCAACCTTATTAGTTAAAAATGTTCCAAATGATATTAAAGATGCTGAAATATTAAATGTTATTTCCGAGCAAAACCCTGATATATTGGATAACAATGAAAAAAATAGTATTAGAGTTCGATTTACTCTTAAAAAGTTCCAAAAGACTCGACATATTGTTGTGGAAGTGAATCCTTCATTGCATAAGAAAAGCGTATCTGTTGGATATTTTCACTGTGATTGGTCCATTTGCAGAGTAGAGAACTTTATTGTAATTAATAGATGCTATAAATGCCTTGGTTACAACCACAGGGGAATAGAATGTAGAAACTCACTCGCATGTTTTAAATGTTCTAAGGAACATAAAAGTGAAAATTGTCCAAATGATGATAGACGTACGTGTGTCAATTGCGTTAGATTCAATAGTAATATTAATGATGCTAACAAAAAAGTTGATGTTAGACACAAGCCTTTTGATGAAAAGTGCCCATCACATATTTTTATGAAGAATAAAATTATCTCGCAAACCTGCTATGTCTAATACGACTTCATTTTCCCTTAAAATTATTCAACTAAATCTACATCGTTCTAAAAAGGCAACCCAACAGCTTGTGCTGAATATGGAAAGTTCTGACGCCGATGTCGCAATTGTACAGGAACCCTATTACTATAATTCTTTTTTACCAATTTTTCCTTCTTCCTACCGGATTTTCTTTGATACCAATAGTGACACCATCAAAGCTGCTATTATTATTCGGAATAAGCAAGTATCTATCTTTTTAGATTTAAAGAATCTTAGCTACAATATGGTTCTTCTTCATGCTTCTTACCTTAAGTCCGAGTTTATTTTGCTTTCATACTATTTTGAACCCAGTAAAAATATTGAAGATGATCTTAGCAAAATTAATGATGCTCTTTCTACTAAAAACTGCAGTAAATTAATTTGGGCTATGGATGCCAATAGTAAATTTGAAATATGGTTCAGTCCTTTTTCGGATTCGCGCGGTGCTAAGCTCTGTGATTTTTTTAGCATGTATCATCTTTTCGTGATTAACGAAGATTGCGGCCCCACTTTTTGCGGTTCCCAGGGTTCCAGCTATATTGATGTTACTGTTGTGGGAACTGATCTTCTTGGTGATGTTTCTAGTTGGAGTATTCCAGACTATGAATCTTTGTCGGATCATCTTACTATTGAATTTGATATTGCTCTTTCTCCTCATATTTCTTCGTCAATTTATCAACCAATTCGCTTTAATGTTAACAAAGCAAAGTGGGACCGTTTCTACTTTTTCTGCAAGGATAAAATTGACAATCTTACTAACCTCTTAGATTCCTGTACGGATCGTAATTCTCTTTACACTATCACTGATGACTTAGGTTCTGTTATCTACCAAGCTTCTAAGCTTTCAATGCCTATTAAGAAACACGGAGCTCATAAAGTGCCCTGGTGGACCACAGAAATTAACTGTATGAGGAAACAAGTTAATGCAGCAAGGCGAAGATTTCAAAGAACTCATAACTCTTCTATAAGAGAGCTCTACAGACAAAAATATCTACAACTCAAAAAAATTTACGGTAATAAACTTCTGGACGCAAAACTTTCTTCTTGGAAAGAATTTCTAAATACGATTAATGTACATAATGTTTGGAAACAAATTTATACTTATGGTATAAAGCGAAATTTCACCAAAAGAATTGAAATTACTGGCATTCGACTCTCTTGTGGTGCAGTTACTACATCATTAGAGGAAACAATGAATGAGGTCATGAATAAATGCTTCCCATCAGACTCCTTGAGGGTTGATGACCCGTTCCATACTGCCTTGCGTAACGAAATGAGCTTTCCCCTCAACACAGATCTTGAGCCACCATTTACAGAGGCAGAAATTGATACGATTGTCAAGAACCTTAAGCTTAATAAAGCCCCAGGTCCTGATTGTATTCCTAATGAAACAGTTAAATATATACACAATATGTTTCCAAACTTACTTCCTAAACTTTTTAATGCCTGTTTGAGGCTTAGTTGCTTTCCACCTAATTGGAAGAGGGCTGATGTCATTCTAATTCCCAAAAATATTGATTCATGTACACCTCATTTAGATAACATTAGATGCATCAGTCTCTTACCAACTTTTGGTAAATGTCTAGAAAAACTTTTAGCCAATAGACTAACTTGGTTCTTGCACAGCAATAAACTTTTAAACGAATCTCAGTTTGGTTTTACTCCTCAAAAGAGTTGTGAAGATGCACTTTTACTATTAAAAGACCTTGTAGGCCTGGGTAAGAAGAAGAATCTCCATACATTGCTTATCTTTTTAGATATACGTGGAGCCTTTGATTTCGCCTGGTGGCCTGGCATAATTAAGTTGCTTAGAAAATATAATGTGCCACGCAACATTTTCAATACCATTAAAGACTTTTTGTGTGAGAGATCTGCCACTCTAACACTTGATCACCGTACCATCCTTCGCTCTCTTGAAAGAGGCTGCCCTCAAGGCTCAGTCCTTGGACCCCTGCTCTGGAACATTATTCTTAATGAACTTTTAAATATACTTTCAAACATCAATGGCTGTAAAACAATTGCTTTTGCTGATGACCTTTTAATCTGCTTGCAAGGCAAATGTGAGGACACTATTTTTTTACTTGCGCAAACCATCCTAGACATTATTGTTAAATGGTCCAAAGAACAAAAACTAGATTTCAATTCGAATAAGTCCAAAATCATGGTTATCAAAAAGAAAAATAAAGACTACTCGAATCAACAACTTTACCTTGATAATAACCTTCTGGATTTTGTTAGTGAAATTAAATATTTGGGACTTATTCTTGATGATAATTTGAATTGGAAAAAACATATTGCTTACTTATCAAAAAAATGCGAAAATATTCTTCAAGGATTAAATCGGGTCTCATGCAATACTTTTGGTTTAAAGTTCAATGTTATGAGTTTAATTTACAAACAGGGAATTGTTCCTTTCATTTGCTACGCATCTAGAGTATGGGGTAATGCCCTACTTAAAAAAGTTAATGTACGTAATCTGCGTAGAGTTCAGAGAAGAATTCTTCTTAGAATTGTGCGGGGATACAGGACTATTAGTTACGATGCTTGTTTCGTCTTATCAGGTTTTCCTCCCATTGATATTTATATCTTACAGGACATGGATTATAAAAACAATATCAGCAACATCTCATTAAGTTCTAATTTCTCATTAACTAATGTTCCACATCCAGGTAATCGAAAACCTATTGATACCATTAAATTCTGCAATAGTTTTGAAAGTGACTTTCCGATCGTTTGCTATACAGATGGAAGTAAATTAAATAACAGAGTTGGCCTGGCTTTTGTGATCTTTTATAATAATATTGAAATGGAGAACCACCTGATTAGAATTCCTGATGACTGCAGTGTTTTCCAAGCTGAGCTTTTGTGTCTTTACCACTCTATTAAATGGATCTCAAACAACTCATCTCTTTCATCAAAATTCCTCATCTGTTCAGATTCCCTTTCATCCCTTTTTGCACTTAAATGTATTACTTCATTTAACAGAATTATTGTAAATTCGCAGATTATTTTAAATGAACTCCAATCCGAGGGTAAATCTGTGCTCTTTTCACATGTCCGAGGCCACTCCGGTGTTCTGGGTAATGAAAGAGCTGACTTTCTGGCGAAACAAGCGACTAATCTTGATTCCATTTGTGATATAAGTCCCCCAAAATCTTTTTTTAGACTTTCAGCCAGACATAAAGTTCAAACTGTGTGGAATGAACAATATCAAGCTTCTACAAATGCTTCACTGACTAAACTCTTCTTTCCATCTGTTAATCAAAGACTCAATAATCAACATTTTTTCTGCAACTTTCATGTGACGCAATTTCTCACTGGACACGGCAACTTCAAGGCATATTTGAAAAGATTTGGCTTAAGTTCCAGTGATCTGTGTGATTGCAATATTGGAGGAACACAAGACGTTGAGCATTTTATTGTAAAATGCTCACATTTTGAGAAAAATAGAAAAAACTTAATAATTGCCTTAAAGTCGCTCAATATTAACTATCCCCCTCCTCTTCGCACTTTTGTGGGAAACAAAACCGTCTTCAAACTTTTCTGCAAATTCATTGATTCAGTTTTTAATGCAATCTTATAAATCAGTTTGTTTTATGTACTATTTTTATTTTTCCTTTTCTCATCCTTTTTGCAAATGTTTTTTTTTATTTTTTTTTTTTTTTACTTTTATTATTATTATTAATTTTTTTTTCTCCCTAATTTTTCATGCCCTTTTAGTATGTATATCTGTTTAAATATCCTACATTGTTTGATACCATACTTACGTCTGTAAGCCTCGTGTTGTACTTTTTCAGTGGTGCACGAGGAATCTTTTTGTTATTGAATAAAAAAATATTCCTCACTAGTAGGGGATCAACTAATTTAGCTTGTTTTGTATTCTTAGCTTTTAGATAAAATTTTGTTCACATGCCACCACTAGTTGCACAGTTACATATTCGGCTTTTGTCCCGTTTGGTCTATTTTAAACTAATTTCGCTTCGACCACCGGCCCCACTCTTTATCTTTTGAGTTTTCATAGTATTTTATCGTTTAAGTAGTCTGTTTAATTTTTAGCTTAGTATCACATATCAAAATTTAAAAAATTTTCATACTCGCTTCGACCATCGGACCACTATTTTACTTCGCTTTCTTTTAGGTTCCTTTAATATCTGACGCTTATCTAACTAATTATGATACAATTTAATCAAATTAACGTTTTTTATACTCGCTCCTACCTCCGGACCCACTTTCTAGTTTCTTATTTTTTACAGCATTAACAAATATTGGTTGCCTGTACTCAATATATTTTGTTCCTAATCAACATAACCAATATTTTCCCCACTCGCTCCGACCACCGGACCCATTTGCTAACGGTTAGTATTAACCGTTTAAAATTTATTTGAATAAGAAAAGCATTCAGAAAGGATTCTGCAAGTAAAACAGGGGAAGTTTATCAAAGAAATTTTAAAAAAGCTTGCTGGATATATATTTATTCTACAATTATTAAGTTTTGCATTTTTAATATCCATTGCGAAAGATTCTTGTAAGTAATTAATTTTTGATGTATGGTAAAATATCAATGGGAAATGTTGCTTGCCATAGCTGTATGGCAAAGGTGTATCATAGCCTATGGAAAAATATTTCTTCATAAACTGTAGCACATCTTAGTTTTATGGCAAAAATTTGTTATATAAAAATGCCATAGGATATTCCTATGCGGTCTTGCCTATGGCAAAATTTTACCATAGGCAAAACCCCATAGGAATATCCTATGGCATTTTTTATGGCAAATTTTCCTAAGGGTCAAAATGAAATAAAGATATTAATTGAAAGCATCAATTCATGGCAACAATAATATAAAGCATAAAATCTATGCCAACTATCTCTAGATACTTGAATAACATGCATAGATGCACAGATTGTGGCACACAAATAGTCACTTTTTATCCCCTCCTGATATTTTGTACTCAGTAGAGCACCTATAACTGAAATTAAAACGAGATGTGTTCTATCTCAGGCACATTATTGACGCAAATGCGCATGCTTGCTAACTTAAATAAGCGGAACATTGAATTGATCTTTTAGTTGAAATATTCACAAAAGGTAACACACTGATCGTTTGGAGAAATTGGAACACGTAACGTTCCAATTTCTCCAAATTAAGAAGTTACTTTTGGAAAAAATTTTAAAATATAACTTGACACATCTTTGATATTGTGTCTATCTATAAAAGAAAATACATTACTTTCACACATTTATACTTTACAGAATTAAAATAATATATTCAAAGTTTCAAATATCTAACATTATAAATACACGTAATAAAATTTCAGATTTTTTTTTTTCCAACATCACATTTATTTGTACCTTTTATTTTCTTTTTAAAAACTTGAAACACGTGTAGATTTAACAACAAATTAAGAAAAACATAAAAAATATCTAACAAATTTATTATAATAAGTGTTAAAGTTAAAATATGTCGTGTAAAAGTAGCACACGTAACAAAAGCATCGCCCTTGGTTTACACAGGGATAGATGGTTAAAATATGATGAAGCGTAAGTGAAACGTTACAAGTGTCGCATTTGAGAGGAGGTTCTCCGAACTACACATGAAGATGGGTGAGTCGAGAGTGACCGATTCTGAGACAAGTAAGCTTTACATCAAGTTTTGAATTTACATCATCTTCATTAACAATAACTTTCTATCCTTTACACTACCTATACGTCGTGGTAGAAAACTTTTACAAAGAATGCTACAAAAGCTTCAGTAACAAAGAAACGCTTACATCACTGCATATTATAAATACAAACATTCGCTAATACATAACTTTTTTTTTGTAATTCCTGTCATATTTTAGAGCTAACGTTTAACGTAAATTGAAACCACAAGAATTAAATAGAAACAATTGAAATCAGATCATTATTTTTCAAAAATTATTAACTTATAATAATGACCATTCCATAAAAACTATAATAAAAAACTTCAATGAATGATTAAGTGTAAAAAACGCATAGTATGTCAAAAAATCATACAATTTAGAATTTACTATATATAACGCAAAATTACAAATCTGATTAAAAAAATAAAAGCCTTGTGTGGTATGCCAATGTAGGAAACTAATCAAAATAGAGTACAATTCTTCCATTCCATTCCAGTCTAATCCTGGAAGAATGAGTCAAATAACTCAAGTACTATAGTAGTTGTTCGTTCAGAAAAGTCAGAGCAGTCAAATATTTGCTGAACAGTTAAGCACTCGTTTATCAAATAAGACATTGATTGCCATGCCCCGCAGATATTTCTTTCGAATAATGCATTGTCATGTAATGATTGGACCATTTGCATTAACTGTTTTCAGGGTGACCACAATCGAAAGAAAAAAAATTTAAAAAGTGGTTACAAATATCTCAAGAAGGGATGGGAAGTTTCAAATTTTTAATTTCACATCATCTATAGGAATTTATATGTATAAGAAATATATCAAATTTAACAACTAGATATATTTTTATTAATTTACAAATACACTTCGGTAAACAGAAATTAATTCTTCATTCTACCTCTGTAACATCTAGATCCATTGCATGGTATATAACATTATTTTTTATATATTATTATTAGACCTTTTTAAAACGTAATTGTCGAAATATTACGTGATAGTCAAAAACCAATGACATTTAAAATCAGAATAGGAAAACATAAAAGTAAATTGCTACTTTACAAAAAATATTTCTTCACTAAAAATTTGTTATCACTTATGGGTGTCACCTAAGGATAAAGTTATATTGTAGAAAGTAACGTTAAATTTTAGAATTGTATTCATAGTCTAAAGTTTATAAACAATTTAACATTGACTTACTTTAATAGACTTTATACCACGTACTCATTAAATTTTAAGTAGATATATAATCTGTATTATTTTTCAACAATTCTCCTTAGCTACAATTTTCAATATCCTTTTCGTTTTATTTTGTACAGAATTTAAATGACCAAACGTTCTTTATTAAATTGCAATTATATCAATAAAACATAAACATAATTCAAAACAGAAACTGGTAAGAGTTGAAGGATAAGAACTGTAAAAGTTTTTCCATGCGTTGTTTGTAATCTTCTAAATATAATGTTGGGAAGTATTGTAAGAGAAAACATGGTGTGGATTCTGAAGTTCATGATTGATTGAATATAGAGTTTAATGGCACAAGGTCCAAATGTGGACATGCTGCGCCAAGCAATATGTTAATACTTGGTCAAAAATTAAAGTGCATTCTTACTTATTTTCCGTAAATAACATTGATCACTGATAAAATCATATAGAAACAATCAACGGTAATAATGGATTAAAATCAGGTCAAAGTTGAAACACAGTAAAATTTTGTAAGACATGTAAAATAGTGTAAAAGTAATAACATCTTTCTAAAAGTGACTAAAATCATGAATAGAATAAAATTTATAAACAATTTAAGATGCCAATAGCACGTAAAAATGCAAAAATGTTAGGGTGATGAGAGTCACCTAACAAATCTCCCATAGATAAAATAGAACTACCAAAAAAGGTAAGACTATGCTTGTTAAAAAGCGGGCAAATGATTAAAATATGGTGAACCACCGAAGGTAAAACATTACAAGTAAATGTTGCATTGAGGAAGAGGTTCCTCGAATAACAAATGAAGATGGGTCAGTCTAGTATGGCCGATTCGAAACCGGGTAAGTTTAACATCTGCACTGCGGAGACGTGCCACAGGTAAAGGGTTCAAATCTAGTTTGACAGAGTGCAGTTTATTGTTGATCTGGGAGTCCCATTGCTGCCCCACTAAAAATAATCTTAAGATTTTCTTAAAAAATTCTTCAGAAATCTAGAGAATTTCTTAAGATCTCCTCTAACTCTATCTCCAAAATATCTTAAGAATTTTTGCATACAATTTACACACATTTTGAATATCTTTAAGGTGAATTAAGTTTGACTTCAAAAATTCTTAAGACAGATTCCTGAGTTAGAATTACCTTAAAGCATCTTAAGATTCTTTAAAAAATCTTAAGAATTTTTTCAGACATTTTATAGACATTTTGGATATTTTTAGGATGAATTAAGTTTGTCTTAAGAAAATTTGAAGAAAGTTTCCTGAGTTAATGTTACCTTAAAACATCTTAAGATTTTTCAGAATATCTTAAGAATTTTTGAAGACATTTTGAATATCTTTAAGGTGAATTAAGTTTGAACAAAGATTTCTTAAATTTTTTTTCAGTTCACACAAAATTTGTCTTGTGATATTTTCTACCTTAGTTTTTCAGATCTTAGTTTCTGTTTAATTGTTTGAGAATTTCAATAATTCTCTAATTAAAGTATATATTTAAAGTTTTCTGCTTTTTTTTTTTTTTTTTTTTTTTTTTTTTTTTTTTTTTTTTTTTTTTTTTTTTNTTTTTTTTTTTTTTTTTTTGTTCTTTCATGAAACTTACAAAATATTAATTTCAGATTGAAAAGAAAATGTTTTATTTGACTTCTATTTTAAATATTTTTTTTTACTGCTTTTATGAAACATCAACTGGTATCTTTGAAATTCAATTCACCAATCAGATCAATTTTTATTAATCAAAAACTCGCACATTATTAAAATTTGAATGATTGGAAATTTTGCCAAGTTGAATGTATAACCAATTCACTCTCCGAGATTCGAATTTTAAGTTTATACGATATACCTGATTAAGAAATTGTGATGTTGCTACATCACACGTGCGTTGTTTTTCTACTCCTCAATAGTTTTTTCAGTTTTCGTTCTTTTTAACCGCAATAGCCTTTTACTTCATTTAACTTGTTTGACTCATTTTTCGTATCGATTAACCCTACCCTAACTTTA